ACCATGTTAGAATTGCGCAATAAAAAGGGCAGAAGCCGTCGCGGCGCCGTAGAAACCGCGCCATCAAATACGATCCGTTATAATAAATGGCGCCTATTATGTATTTATCTCACAATGCCGGCGCCGGGCTGAAGAATTATTTCCCTCGGATTCTTCGTCGTTTGCCTTATCAGTTTAGCGTCCCACGCCAGCTGCCTGAGCCGAGCGTAACAAACGCCACCGCGACAGCGTCCCGCCCAGGCTAGTAGTCGGCGTGGCGCTGACATCCGAGGACGTTGTAACACGCAGCGCATTTTATCAGAAGGAGAAAAATGCAGATCCGCCGTAACGAATGCCTGCAATAAAAGAGCGCGCTGCGTCCCGTGATGGCCCTTTATCGGATTTACATAAACACGCTCCCTCGCCGCTGATGGCGGGAGATGATGAGCGGTGGGAGGTGAATGATGAGCACACGGGGGATCCCTCCATCTGAGGAAGGCGAATAAATCAGGAAATTCAAATATTGATAATTGTGGTGGGTGAAGGAACGATGGCGAACCGCGCTTATCGTAGCGTCTCAAACACAGAATTTGTATCGTAGGAGGTTTTCATGCGACGCGGACACAAATGATTAAAACTGAAATGATACATCGTGACGCTTGTAATGTTATTCACATTCCGGACTCCATTTATTTCGTTATTATTTATTTTAAGTTTTATTTTATTATTGACGCATTATTCAATTTATGTATGTTATTTATGTATTTTTTTAATTTAGTTATTTGTTTTTTTTTAATATTTAAATTATTGATTTAGTATTTTATTTATTTTGTATTTATTCACTCGTTTATTGAATTTTTTCCTTCTAATTTAAAGGGGTTCTAAACCCTCCGTTTTTTTTGGCTTATAGGCAAGAAGTGCCAAAAAAAAACCCGCTTAAAATCATTTTAAACTTACCTCGTTATCGCTGCTCGCTCCCGCGCCGAGAATCAGGAAGTGATCGTACGGCCGCAAAGGATCTTGGGGCGGGCGCATGCGCAGTTCCGATTCTCGGCCGGGAGACGAGCAGAGACGCAAGGTAAGTCTATGGACGCGTGCACCCGCATGCAGACACCGCAGGATCGGAGGGACAGAGCAGTCAGCGCTGGATCGGAGTGACGTCGCACCGCTGGAGGGACACATGAAAACATGGGGAAAGAAGAGGAAGATCAGAATAAGAGACATCATTTAAGGTAAGTGCTAACATTTACATGGGGGGGAGGGGAAAAAAAATTTGCCTTTAATGTCACTTTAATGCATTTATCAAAAACGCAGCACAATGATTTCCAATGGGATTCTGTTTTGTTCACACCCGACTAGTCCGTTCCGATGCAGCCAGAAAAAGTGCTGCTTGCATTATTTTAGCCGCCTCAGAACGTGACGGAAGACGCATCAAAAACGCAACTAAAAACCCACAGGGTTAGTGATGTCATCTTCTGGGGACTTCCTGTGAGTAGAGATCAGGAAGAGAACAGCTCTGGAAACATGGCAGACATGGACGCTGACCTAATAATCAAATATCTCTGACCCTCATCAAGGGGTGCACCCAATAACGACGTCTCCTCCTACGTTGGGCTATAGCCGACACTAACGCCATGCCTGCAAACAAAGGAAGCGTGTCTGAGCTAGAAAATTGAGGAAAGTGCTGTGACAGGAAGAAGGTAGTGTGGAGGACGCTAGTTTGTGTCCTCCCGTTACCCTAAGGACAACTATGGGGAAAAGCCCTGACCCCATAGTTCTCCTTTAATGCAGTTTTGATGTGAACGAGGCCTTAATCTGCTTCTATGTTGCCTTCCATTTTTCTTTACAAATGGAATTAATTTTGAAATGTTCTGCTTTTTCATACCGCATCACAGCCACTATGTGGCGCTAAAGGAGAATGCGCAATATGTACACATCTCCTATGCCCCTCAAGCTCCATCTAGTGCCCATAATGCGGTATTACAAGATAGTATATTAACATTCGTTTTTGCCTCTATTCAGACACAACAAACGTCCACAGAGAGGCGCAGGGAGAATGCAAACTGTTTAAGGTGGGTTTATTTTTCTTGACCATTTGCCCAACAGGACAGGAGAAGGAGGGGAGGAATGGGGTACAACACTAGCCCCTCCTCCTCCCCCCATGTGGGCTCCTTGTACTCCTGCGCCTCGTGTGATGTGGGCTGCGGACCCTCTCAGTCAGTTGCTGTCTTTTAATGGTCCGTGACCTCCAAGAACTGATAAGCAAAACAAGTGGCAAACGCACTCATGAATTTGTTACCAGCTTTACAGCAAGGTGCACACGGAAGGGCCTTCTATAGTAAAACAGCAAAAAGTTTCCCAGCACACTCACCAGCCAGCATGCAAAAAAACTTGGCTGACCGCTAAGGTTAAAAACAGAGGTTTAGATACACGTCTTCTGCAGAAAATGTGAAAGCCGCACAGCCGCGCCAAGGCACCTCTTATAGTGCGGTCCTAACTCTAAACTATGAGAGTCTCCATCTTGGAGCACATGGGGGCAGAAGATATCAAATTGGGTGCAGGTTTGTCAGGAGGAACCCCAACCGTTAAAAGGCACAGGGACGCACAAGGGACCCCGCACATCACAACGGCAGCTAAGTCCCCCTGGTTAAGGGGAGTTGGGCTTCCTCCTGACAAACCTGCACCCAATTTGATCTTTTGCCCCATGTGCTCCAAGATGGAGACTCTCATAGTTTAGAGTTAGGACCGCACTATATAGAGGTGCCTTGGCGCGGCTTTCACATTTTCTGCAGAAGACGTGGATCTAAACTAGGGTTGGTAATGATTACAATTTTCGTGTTCGATTAATCAATTTTTTTTTTATCGATTAATTATAACGCACAAACAGATCCAACTACACTGGCCTATACACATACAGCGCAGCAATGGAGTAATAACATGAACTAGGATCACACTAATCCAGCACGTTATTAATCTCATGTGCCCCACCCAATATGGCCGCCGCTTGAGTGGGGCAACTCAGAATAATAACGTGCTGGATTAGTGTGATCCGAGTTCATTTTATTACTTCATTGCTGTGCTGTATGTGTATAGGCCAATGCCTTGGCTGGCGCTCGTGCAGAAAGTTTCTTGGGCAAACTCAGCGGCCCAAGTGGCTCCGGCGGCTAACGAAGGGGGGGAGGAGTCCGGTGACGTCACCGGACTCCTCTTCCCTTCGTTAGCCGTCACGGACATCGATGTCACTGGACTCCTCCCCTTCCCTAGCCGTCACGGACATAGACGTCACCTGACTACTCCCCCTTTCCCTTTGTTAGCCGACGGAGCCACTTGGGGAAGGGGGGAGGAGTCCGGTGACGTCGATGTCCGTGACGTCACCGGATCGCCGACGGGACTCCCGGAAGCCGGCGGAGAGGCAAGGGTTTTCATTAGCGATCAAAAGAATTTTAAAATCGATCAAAAAGTTTAACGATTAATCGAGAAATGAATCTTTAATTTCCGCAGCCCTAATCTAAACCTCTGCTTTTAACCTTAGAGAAGTTTTTTGCATGCTGGCTGGTGATTGTGCTGGGAAAGCTTTTTGCTGTTTTACTCCAAGGACTCCTAGCCTCTTCTTCCCCTCACCGCCTTTTCCTGGGCACTCCAGGCGTACAATCTGTTCACAGTTATAGACACAAACAAGTAGCACTGAACCAGATTGTTGAGCTGGCTCCGGGCCGCAAGATGGTGGGAGGAGCTAGGCAGCACATCCTGGGTGCAAAGGCCATGCGTGCGCCAGCTCATAAGCCTCTACAATTGAACTTAGGTCCGGGGTTAGGCAAGCTCGGCACGCCAGCTGTGGTGAAATTACAGATCCCATCATGCCTCTGGGAGTCACGGCTATGGCAGTCAGTCTTGCAATGTGTCCTGGGAATTGTAGTTCCACAACAGCTGGTGTGCCGAGGTTGCCTACCGCTGAACTAAAGAATGCAGAGTCCTCCTTACATACAAGGTATGGTAACACTATACATGTTTATGTGTTACATACAGTACATATGCATCTCGAAGAGGTCTCATCCCCCTGCACCTGTAATAGGCTTATCGGTTTCCTCAGAAATGTAGACAGAGCGTGAGGCAGAATAAAAGCAATCCCCCGCCATATTCTTTACAAGCAGTTTTAGCTATGGTAGTTGTAAAGATCTGCCACCTTTAAAATCACATGATCAGCTTCGGTTTGGTGTGCCATCCCCTTTAAACAGGCAGCAGCGGGCCTGAAGTGATGACTCACCACACTGAAGCTGATCATGTGATTAACGGTGGAAGATCTTCCCACTGAGCGCTCACTCCAGTACCTACAGAACACGAGCAGGTAATCATCAGCGATACAAGCGGCTGTAATCCATACAAGTGTACATGGCAGAGATGGAGGTTTCCTTTATTCTCAATCAACCTGCACTCTCCTTTTTAGGCTGAGCTCCAGGCAAACCACAAAAGACACAGATAATATACATACACGGGAGACGCTGGACCTGGAAAACGATTTGTATTTCTCTCCTTCAAGTCTTGAGATTTATGCAGCCCGTCTGGTAGGGAAGGAGACCAGATTTTTCTCTGCTGCCGTTCAGCAACACTTGCAGGTCTAGCTCCGCCCCCAGCCTGTGACTGAACCCTAAAAGGAGATGTAGCAGACTGAGGAGCTCATTTTTGTCACTCTGCTCTCTCCTATCAGCATGACCCCGGCACTGCAAATTGGTTCCTCATGCTGCATCTCCCTCCTACACCCTGAGCTCTGCTGTGCAGGAACCACGATAGACCGATACCATGTCAAATTCAAAAATTTACAAAAACACATGTGAGGAATTATTAATGAATAGAGAGAGTTACAATGATTTGCATAGTTTATATCTGCTCCAAGATCAGCTGTACGATGTTGGACTTTATGGATATCACCGCACATGGACCCCATAGACTCTAGTAGGATGGGATTGGGCCCCGGCAATAGACAGTCCCGGCAATACTCCTCACACCGGTCTGTGTCGCCTTCCTCAGTCTATGGCGGCCTGAGGTTTCCTCTTCCTGGAAGGTTTTCGGGCCGGTTTCGGTTTGAGTTTGTTTAGTTCTATGTCCGCTTTACTGGTCTTGGTGTGTTTCTGGAAGACGTCTTCTGTGATCGGCTCGATGATGTGCCCCCTCTTGGTGATCACCCGCGGACTGGTCAGTTTATGAACGGCCTTCTCCGTGTTCCACGTTTTCCCCAATGGCGTGCGAATGCTGCTCTCGAAGTGCCGCCGGTTGTTGAAAGGATACGGAAGCTCATTGACCTGGAGGAGGGAGAGAGAGAGAGAGAGAGAGAGAGGGGGGGTGGAGAGAGAGAGTAACAATACACTTTATGTATAAAGGTTTGGGAACACCTGGCCATCACACCTACATGAGCTTCATGGACATCTCATCCCAAAACCATTAACAGAGAGTTGTCCCCCCTTTGTGGCTTTAAAGGGCCTCCACTCTTCTGAGAAGGCGTTCCACAAGATTCTGGATGGTGTCTGGGGGAAATGGTGCCCCTTTGTGAAGTTGAATAGCAAAAAGTTTCCCAGCACACTCACCAGCCAGCATGCAAAAAAACTTGTCTCACCGCTAAGGTTAAAAGCAGAGGTTTAGATACACGTCTTCTGCAGAAAATGTGAAAGCCGCACAGCCTCGTCTAAACTATGAGAGTCTCCATCTTGGAGCACATGGGGGCAGAAGATTTCAAATTGGGTGCAGGTTTGTCAGGAGGACGCCCAACCTCCTTAAAGGCACAGGAATACACAAGGGATCCCGCACATCCCAATGGCAGCGGAGACCCCCCCATGCGTCACTGCACCAAATCAGTCAAGCAAAACAAATGGCAAACCTTGTGCGTCCCTGTGCCTTTAAGGGGGGTTGGGCTTCCTCCTGACAAACCTGCACCCAATTTTATCTTTTGCCACGTGCTCCAAGATGGAGACTCTCATAGGTTAGAGTTAGGACCGCACTATATAGAGGTGCCTTAACGCGGCTGTGCGGCTTTCACATTTTCTGCAGAAGACGTGGATCTAAACCTCTGCTTTTAACCTTAGCGGCGAGACAAGTTTTTTTTGCATGCTGGCTGGTGAGTGTGCTGGGAAACATCTTGCTGTTTGTACTGCATAAGGCCCTTCCGTGTGCACCTTGCTGTAAAGCTGGTAACTAGTTGATGTGTGTTTGCCATTTGTTTTCCTTTGTGAAGTTGGGAACTGATGTTGGATGAGAAGACCTCGCTCATCATCAGCATTCCAAATCATCCCAAAGGTGTTCAGTAGGGTTGAGGTCAGGGCTCTGTTCCACCACACCAAACTGGTCACACCATGTCTTTATGGACCTTGCTTTGTAACCGGGGCACGGTCATGGTGGAAAAGGGCCTTCACCAGGTACTGATGTTGGAGGAGAAGTCCTGGCTCACAATCATTGTGTCAGTTCATCCCAAAGGCGTTCAGCAGGGTTGAGGTCAGGAATCTGTGCAGGACACTCGAGTTCCTCTACCCCAAGCTGGTCACACCATGTGTTCCCATTGCCCGTCAGCACCATGTCAACCAATCTCACCCACCTGATGTGCGGAAGCCATAATGTTCCTCTTCTCAGTAATAATGACGTTGGGGAGACGTTGGTCCTTTCTTGGAGGAGCGGGGGGAGCTTTAATAATGAACCTACAGGTGAATAAAAAGAAAAAGATAACTCTTCCTGAACCCCGAGATCCAAATGTATTACTATTATTATGCTACTGTTATGTCCCCCAATGTTTATTAAACGCACTGCTCTTTGTTTCCTGGGGCATTGATTGTTAGAATCAATGTAATACGAGGGCCATTCTGTACTGAATCAGCTGAAGGGTCATTCCAAAAAGTTATATTTTGGATATTAACCCGTTGTGATCAATAAACGTACTACACACATCCAAAAATAAAGTAACTGAAGTACAGAAGGCGTATGCAGTAAATCCTGTCCTCCTCCACTGCTTCACCTTTATTCCCCTTTCCCCCCTTGCACTTGCCCCAATTCCCAGCTGTTAAAATGACAGCCCAGAGTTGCTGTGTGAAAACAGAAGCTGCCGCTCAAAAACTGACCGACTGACAATGTTTATAACCAAAGAGACAATTCTCATAGTTTATGAACATTGATCAGAGGAGAGATAGAGAGATACAAAGTAACATTGGGGGGAAATTTACCAAAACTGGAGCAGTTGCCCATGATAACCAATCAGCTTCTGTGTTCAGTTACAATTTGAAAATGAAAGAGGGAAGCTGATTGGTTGCTACGTACAGCTGCTCCAGCTTTGATAAATTCCCCTTATTGTTTATAAACATTGATCAGAGGGAGATAGAGAGATACAAAGTAACATTGTTTATAAACATTGATCTGAGGGAGATAGAGAGATACAAAGTAACATTGTATATAAACATTGATCAGAGGAGATAGAGAGATACAAAGTAACATTGTTTATAAACATTGATCAGAGGGAGACAGGAGGTACAAGGTAACATTGTTACTTTTGTATCTTCATAAATGTCAGTCAAAGTACCGCAGCGCTGAATACTGAAAAATGGCCTGGATGGGAAGGGGGTTTAACACCGCGGATGTCAACTGGTTAATAAGGAGTTGCGCTAATATTGTGCAACATAAAAATTTGCAGCTGCCACCATTATATTGTATAGGGTCTTGGCATTCAGAAAATATATAATGTTTGGGGGTTTTAAGTAATTTTCAGGCCTAAAATGTGGAATATAACATGGGTGCAAAAAATGAAAAAAAGGCCTCAGTCATGAAGGGGTTAAGTACAGGTGTGAACACTGAAGCCGAGAGATCTCCTCAATGCTGCCTTGAGAGTAACTAAGAATTCTATCTGGTTTAGCGCTCTCCAGCTTCTAAAAATAAAATCAGTTTTGGGTGGGCTGACCCTTTTTGGTCATCAATTTCATACTTGTGTGGGGAGACTCCACTGCAAGGGTGTTTTGTTTTTTTTAAAGCGGCCTGGAGTCCGGCTATAACCACAATGCACATGAACTCAATGGAAATCGCACCATAAAAAGGTGTGATCACAGCCTTGCACATAGGGGTTGATGTAGAAACAATTTGCAGCAATGTTCTTTCTGCGAATGTTTGTTCTGTGCAAATATATACACAAACATTCTTCTGGAGTTCTCCTTTAACCAGAACTAAAATGACAATAGCGAAGATATGCTTTAGATAATTCATAAGGAAAACAATGCGGCACATTGCGGTCCCTCCGGTATCAGGATACAATGCTATAAATGTCCTTAGCTTTCAGCATTGCAATCAGCTGCTTATCTGGAATGTTGTAACCATGAACTCACCTCGACTTCATTAATAAACAGGAAAAGAAAGAAAATTCACCGACAGGATCTCCCCAGCCGCCCCCGAAACAAGCGTCTCCCCCTCCGCTGGGTGTTGCATGCTAACTGGAGCACGGAAAGCGCCCAGCTAAGCAATCTGCACCGGGGACTTTGTCTAAATTACGTTGAAGTTATTTTCAAAGCAGAAAACACAAACGTTAGCAGCTTTGATGGTCCCAGAAGTCTTTCCAAGAACAAGCAATATTCATATTAAATGTCTCCTTCTCCATCCCCGCAGCTAGATACACTTAGGAGACAGAAAACAGACCTTTAACAAAAGATACCTCTCTATGTTACCGAGACTCCTCCAAAGACGCATAATAATAAAAAAAAATTAAAAGGAAACATAAAAAGTAACTTTTTTTTAAGGAAAGGGGAAGATTATAAAACTATTTCCTCCCGTATCCCGCTTCAATAACATGCTTGATCAAGCAGGAATCGCTTCTCCTGTCAATGAGACACAACGCTGGCCAGACGACTCCTCGGGGGAGAGAAATGCACTTTATAAGTACAAAAAAAAACATTTGGTGGGTCAGCTGGGGAATTTTATTTTGGGCAATTAGAAAGGCGAGGCGCCCTCATAAGTGTATACGTCGGGGAACGAGGTTCTTGGTTTAGGAAGATTTAAGCGGAAATAGTATTTGCCAGAAAAGTTCATTGTTTTCAAGGAGAAAGAGAAACTTTTAAAGAGATGAAAGTAAAATATATTTCCCTCCATCAATCTCTCTCCCTCAATCTCTCTCTCCCTCCCTCAATCTCTCTCCCCCTCCCTCAATCTCTCTCTCTCCCCCTCCCTCAATCTCTCTCTCTCCCCCTCCCTCAATCTCTCTCTCCCCCTCCCTCAATCTCTCTCTC